GTTAGAAACATCGATCAGCTGCCTCCTGCACACCCCCTACTGGGGATGTGCCCACAACCAAGGTACATAACCTTGACCAGAATCGAACCTGGGACCCTTCAGTCCGCAAGCCTACGCTCTATCCACTGCGCCAAACCGGTTAGGGCGAGAGAAGTCTTTTAAAACTAGGACTGAACTTCACAATCATCAGAGAGTTCATTCAGGAGAGAACACTTAGAAATGCAGTGAATGTGGGAAATCTTTTACAAGTAGCAATAGTCTTCAATATCATCAGAGAGTTCATACTGGAGAAAGCAGTTATGAGTGCACTTAGTGTGAGAGTGGGGAGCCGGCATGGCCATGGCATACTCAGCCCCAGTGTGCCTTATTTACCATGCCAGCTCAGCCTGGGTCAGTGACCCTGAGTTGGGGCGATGAAAGTATTAAGAAAAGACAGAAGAGAATGAAAGCTGGGTCTCGGTGTGACGCTGCCCTCTGGGGTGGAGAGAGACAGTGCCAACGCCCACAAGCCGTGTCTTTATTTTATAGCAGATGCCACGAGGCAAAGTAAAGGCATGATCAAGATGTTTACAACATTCTCGTGGGTTCAAATCCTACTCAACTACATGCACCTGAATTCTATCTCTCAGGCATGTGGGGCCAAGTGTTTGGACTATAGGTTCAAGCTTACAGCTATAGCTATTGGCTATAATTGTGCTGGGAAGGCTCTGCCCTCCAAGTTGGGACTTGCACGTGGCAATGAGAGGACTGTGCCCTCTCATCAGTCCAAGGCTTGAACCTGTCCAAAACACTGTAGCGCGCCCCAAAAGATTTCTCTCAGCCAAATTTGTAAATCCGCTCTGCACAAAAGAGTCCAAATGTGAAAATTTTTTAAACGTGTGGGACATGTCGTTTCTCTGTTAGGATTTAACAGTTGTGTAAGAAAATATGTGAAGTCTCAGTCTGAATTACATCTCATACATTTCACCACCTCCATTATATGATATCCCCCAACTGTTTTTGTTCTGTTTGTTAGTATTTCTGTTGGAACCTTATGTGTCTATATTGCACGTTCCAACATAGGGAGAAGTGTTTCCATGTGTATGTCACTGCATATTTTTGTTGCTGAAGGTATTTCACCTGAATCACCTATAAGGTCCCTACAGATGGCATCAATCACCATCCTCCTGTGCCCGGGGAAGCTAACTCTGTTGTGTCATTTGTTGAAGAAAATTAGGAATACCTGAGCCCTTAGTTCTTCTTTGTTTCCCTGTCATGACTTGCCACATAGGAATGATTACCATTGGCGCCAGTAAACACAATGTTGGAGAAAAACTGCCATTGTCAGGGACACACTTTCCCTACATGCCAGTGATGAATTTATTGAGTTCCTAAGTCATCAGTGGGAGAACTGCCAGTCCAGGTCTCTTTCATTGCAAAATAATGAAGGCTTTTTCCTAGCACTTCTTTAATGTTGTGTTCTTTTGACTCTATTGGTTAATTTAGAAGAGAAGGAAATATTATTTTGCCTCTACAATATCATTTCCCTCATTTTCACGCACTTAACTCCTTAGAAAAAGGGAACACTGTTAGGGTTTGGCAGGTGGTGCAGGCTGTGGAAGAATTTACACCTAAAAGAAGCCATGCTGGGAGGAAGTCTGTTTTCCTTTCCAAGAGAAGAAAGGGCCAAGTATTGGTTGTCAATTACAGGGCAGGCCAGAAAGGTTGGGTTCTGCTTTTCATCAGTGGCTCTAGCTAAGAGAGCACAAATGCAGGGGCCTGGGGCTTTGCTGAAGTTGAGTAGATATGAGGGGCTGTCTTTAAAAGTCACAGTTTGTTTGCTTTCCAGGAGACAGTCTGGCAGATGTATAGGGAGGTGTCTTATCAATATTTTTCCCAAGCCTATAAAATATGACTGGAGAAAAAGGTATGGAGTGTTCAAAAGAGGCTTGTTTGAAGAGGTCAAGAAAGGAAACTACGGGGTGCAGCTACAGTGTTTTTGACAGGTTCTAGCCTTGGACTGATGAGAGGGCACAGTCCTCTCGTTGGCCCCGTGCAAGTCCCAGCTGGAGGGCAGGGCCTTCTCAGCACAATTATAGCCAACAGCTACAGTTGTAAGCTTGAACCTATGGTCCGAAAAGGGGCCCACGTGACTGTGTGATAGAGTTCAGGTGCTTGTAGTTGAGTAGGGTTGAAACCAACGAGAATGTTGTAAACAACTTGATCACGCCCCTACTTTGCCTCATGGCATCTGCTATAAAATAAAGACACGGCTTGTGGGCGCTGTCTCCTCATCAGGGAGGCAGCGTCCCACCGAGACCCAGCTTTCATTCTCTTGTCTATCTTTTCTTAATCCTTTCATCACCCCACTCTGGATCACTCTTGGCAGTGCTGGCGCGGCACAAGTGGCATCCGAGCAGGCCTGAGTTCGGGGGGAATTTAAAAAGTGGTCAGTTGAAAGGAGTCCAAGGCGCAGGCAGAGAGTAAGATTAAAAAGCAAAAGTAAGGTAAGAAGTCCAAAAAACAAAAATATGGTAGGGAGCTGTGGTATGGTTAATTAGCTCGGTGTAAAACATGGGACCCGATCCCAGTTAACGGTACACACACACACACACAAAAACATGGGACAATGCTTAATTGAAACATTTTTAAAGTAGGCATTTAAAAAATTTCTAAGGTACAAATAAGCGGGGAGAAACCAAAATGGCGGCATAGTTAAACACCGGAATTTGCTGCCTCAAACAACCACTTCAAAAATACAACTAAAAGACGGAATGGATATCATCCAGAACCACAGGAAGACTGGCTGAGTGGAAATTCTACAACTAGAAGGAAAGAGAAAAGCATACTGAGACTTAGAGGAGGTGCTGTGCGAAAGTAAAATACTAAGGTGCGGAGGTGCATGAGGAGCGGGTTGGCAGCTGAGGGCGCTGTTGTCGTTTTCAATTGGGAGGGAGTCTCAGGCTCTGAGCTCCAGTTCCGGGCGAGTCTCTAGGGACCCAGTCTCATACGGGAGAAGCAGGACTTTCTGGCATCGGTCGGAACTCGAGGGCAGCTTTCTC